TCACTGTGTCGTTGGTCCGCTTGATGGCCGGGACATTAATGGCACCATGGATGGTTCCCACATTTCGATCACCATCTCGCAGGTCTACCAGTAAGCACCTCCCGGCTTGAAGGAGCGCCGCAACCTCGCCTTAGACATCTTGGGCCGAAAACATCTAAACCGCCCAAGCTCCCTTCATAACTCTTACCAACATGTTATCCTAGCTCAACCAAATGAAGGTCCTCTAAGTCTTCTGCAGGGAAGTTACGAGGCTCCAGAACCTCAACGCCAGGCTTCCGCGTAGACGCCATGGGTGCCACATTGACCATGGGAGTCGGGGGCGCCAATCGCGGCGCAAATTGCTGAATGCTCCGCGCATGCGAGTGAAATGCAAGGGCTTCGTGGGGCTTCACAAACGGTTGTGCTGTCTTTGCCACGCTCACCCTGCTCTGCCATATCACCTCACCACTCTGCCACCCTGCCATCCTTGCCACGTACGGCACTGGTGCTTGCCACGTGTGCGCAAGCCAGTGAGCCGACGCCGGCACATGCACTCGGCACTGCAGTGCCATCTGGCACCGTGGCAGCATGTTTCGCACGTCAAAGGGCCAGATTGGTTACCCCTGATCTTGAACCCAAACTACTTGCAAGCGCATCATGGATGGGAAGATGCAAGGAAAATCACTTGAATTGCCGGCAAGGACGCTACGTGTCGGAGCGTGGGTTCCACCAACACATCCGTTTGCTTCGTTTTGATGTGTCTCGTCTTTGTCCAAGTCCAACACGCCCAACGTTTCGTTGGCAGATGTTGGCAGCACTACGCGGTAGCGACGTACAATTCTGAATGTGAGCCTACCAATGGGCTTGGTGAACTTGGTACTCTTTTCCAACCGTGGGGAACAACACTCAGATACCATCACATGGTACTAGGTTGGAGGCCTTTGCTAGGAGGTTGGAATCCGGTTGGAAGCCATCTCTAGTAGGTTGGAGGCCATCGCTCTTGGGTTGGAGGCCATTGCTATTAGGAACAAGAAGCTACTCAGATAAATGGTAAAAAGCTACTCAGATACCATCACATGGTGAAGAGCAAACCATTTCCTACCATCAAACCGAGTTGGTGCGATCGACCTGTCTCCCTGTCTCATTCCCAACGCTTCGAATGGACGCCTTCGATTTGGCACTCCAGTGCTGAGATGTTGTATGCAAGGCACCGCTTCCTGAGCCCAGGGTTGCGCGCTTGAAGAATAGCAGGGGCCTCCAACCTAAGAGCTTCTTGTTTCTAGTAGTAAGGCCAGGAGCTGCTAGTAGCGTCCTTGCTCCTAGTAGCGATGCCGGTTGCTCCTAGTAGCTTCTGTTACTAGTAGCGATGGCCTCCAACCTACTAGAGATGGGTTCCAACCCAATCGCAGAAGCCAAAGCCGATCGATTCATTTTGTGTCCACCGATCGAGTTGGGACATTCCTCACGTTGACACCTTCGGCACAGCTTGAGATCTAGACGGACTCGGGGTGCCGAGAGCAAAAAGCCAACCGGGTGCCCTAAAGTGGAGTTAAAATGCTACTAGGAGCAAGGACGCTACTAGGGGCTCCTGGCATCGCTACTA